TGTAATGCAGTATGTGTGCAGTGTGTGTTTGTGGTGTGTGTGTGTTTGTGTAGTGATGTAATTTGTGTAATTTTTTATTTTAATATTTTTTTCAATATTTAAATGTTTTGTTTTTTTGTTTAGTCCCCCCCCAGTGTGTGTTTGTGTAGTGTGTATGTAATGCATAGTGTGTGCAGTGTGTGTTTGTGTAGTGATGTAATTTGTGTAATTTTTTATTTTAAATTTTTTTTTAATATTTAAAAAAATATATATATTTTTTGTTTAGTCCCCCCTCCCTGCTTCTTACCAGGGAGGGGGATATAGTATTCCCTGGTGGTCCAGTGGCTTGTTAAGTACAGTGGTGGCTCAGCAGCAGCAAGCACTGACTTACCTTGCAAGCAGCTCCTACAGCTCCCTGTGTAAATCTCGCGGCTTTTAGTGCCGCGCGGAGCGTTGCCATGGTAACCCGTGGCAACGCTCTGCGGCCGCGGGTCTCGCCAGATTTACACAGGGAGCTGCATGCAAGGTAAGTCAGCGCTTGCGGCTGGCCCCCACAGGACCGCCGGGCTTGTAATGGGCCCGGCGGTCCTGTTATATATTATCGGCAATATCGGTATCTGAATTGGCCGATACCGATATTGCCGAAAATACCAAATATCGGCCAGACCGATAATCGGTCGATCCCTACAAATCACCATCCTTTATTTCCATTACATGATCAATCAATCTAATCACCAATGGACGTGACCATGGGTTATTTAAAAGTTTTTATAGGGGTTTACAAATTCTTCTTCAGACTTTATTTATATGCATTCTCTTATAGTATGGGGCCATAACACCCCCTTAGCAACCCACTTCAACTGTCCTTAAAAAGGATTTCCCCCCCCCCAAAAAAAAAAGAAATTGTTTCTGGGGGAAATTTATTTCAAGTCAACCAGTGAGCCCCCACCTCACTCTCTGGTAATGAAGTTTAATCCTTTTATGGATGTGTATAACAACCATCATATACAAGACAGTAGGACGATGAATTGTCATGTCATGGTGACGGAGCTGCTGGCTGAGTGGAGTTGTGAAAAGGATAGAGTGCAATACAATAACAGCGGGTGGGAGTTCAGGCTGGGAACGGCGCTGCCATGCGGCTCCTCTCAGCACCCAGCTACGACCCCTGCGCTCACTTCCACATCACATGGCAGAGCTCCGGACTAGCAGCCATTATAAAGGTGACTGGATTTTGAGTAGTGTCTGAAGGACTCTCTTCAAGTAACGACCCTGTCCAGGCAGGTCAGCATGGCCACCTGCCCACATGGGGTTTAAATGAACAAACAAATGGTGGAATCCGCACGCTTATCTGGGACTGGCTAAACCCAACTCCAACTGTAAAACAGTAAATGTAGTCCGAGCACTCAGGGTTACTAATGCAGCAGTTTTATTGGAAAAACAGGAAATACACGCAATATTACGAAAGCTCTCAGTTGAATTCGCAATGTTGCTTGTTTTTCCCAATAAAACTGCTGAATAAGTGGTCCTGAGTGCCTGGACTACATTTATTGTTTTACCACAGGGGGTTTATAGTGCTGGAGAAAGAGGGCAAACTAACAGTATGATCCCCCTCAACGCACAATGACACCACCCAGCACTCCTCCACTCAATGTGACCTCACAACTCTGTACTGACACTTCAAGGCAAAGGTAGGTAACCCCGGCATACCTTAGGTGTGTGGCTGAACTACATCTCCTTAGATGCTCAGCCATCTGTTACTCTGCGAGTCTTATACATTGCTAAGCATCATGGGAAATGTAGTTTAGAAACATGGGTTCTAGTGTTAACCTTCAACAGAATAAACCTCTGGTGTGTTGTGGGCTAACAAGTTTCCTGCTGAGCATGTTATATTACAGAGTCCCCAGTAATGTGCAATGTGTACTGGGATATTACAGTCCTCAGTAATGTGCAGTGTGTATTGGGATATTACAGAGCCCCCAGTAATGTCCAGTGTGTATTGGGATATTACAGAGCCCCCAGTAATGTCCAGTGTGTATTGGGATATTACAGAGCTCCCAGTAATGTTCGGTGTGTACTGGGATATTACAGACCCCCAGTAATGCGCAGGGTGTGCTGGGATATTACAGAGCCCCCAGTAATGTGCAGGGTGTGTTGGGATATTACAGAGCCCCCAGTAATGTCCAGTGTGTACTGGGATATTACAGAGCCCCCAGTAATGTGCAGGGTGTATTGGAATATTACATAGCCCTCAGTCATGTGCGGTGTGTACAGAGCCCTTAGTAATGTGCAGGGTGTGCTGGGATATTACAGAGCCCCCAGTAATGTGCAGGGTGTGCTGGGATATTACAGAGCCCCCAGTAATGTGCAGGATGTACTGGGATATTACAGAGCCCCCAGTAATGTGCAGGGTGTGTTGGGATATTACAGAGCCCCCAGTAATGTCCAGTGTGTACTGGGATATTACAGAGCCCCCAGTAATGTGCAGGGTGTATTGGAATATTACATAGCCCTCAGTCATGTGCGGTGTGTACAGAGCCCTTAGTAATGTGCAGGGTGTGCTGGGATATTACAGAGCCCCCAGTAATGTGCAGTGTGTACGGATATATTACAGAGCTCCCAGTAATGTGAAGTGTGTACTGGGATATTACAGAGCCCCCAGTAATGTGCAGGGTGTGCTGGGATATTACAGAGCCCCCAGTAATGTGCAGGGTGTGCTGGGATATTACAGAGCCCCCAGTAATGTCCAGTGTGTACTGGGATATTACAGAGCCCCCAGTAATGTGCAGTGTGTACTGGGATATTACAGAGCCCCCAGTAATGTGCAGTGTGTACTGGGATATTACAGAGCCCCCAGTAAGTGTGTACTGGGCCCCCAGTAATGTGCAGGGTGTACGGGATATTACAGAGCCCCAGTAATGTGCAGTGTGTACCGGGATATTACAGAGCCCCCAGTAATGTGCAGGGTGTACTGGGATATTACAGAGCCCCCAGTAATGTGCAGTGTGTACTGGGATATTACAGAGCCCCCAGTAATGTGCAGTGTGTACTGGGATATTACAGAGCTCCCAGTAATGTGCAGTGTGTACTGGGATATTACAGAGCTCCCAGTAATGTGCAGTGTGTACTGGGATATTACAGAGCTCCCAGTAATGTGCAGTGTGTACTGGGATATTACAGAGCTCCCAGTAATGTGCAGTGTGTACTGGGATATTACAGAGCTCCCAGTAATGTGCAGTGTGTACTGGGATATTACAGAGCCCCCAGTAATGTGCAGGTGTATTGGGATATTACAGAGCCTCCAGTAATGTGCAGTGTGTACTGGGATATTACAGAGCCCCCAGTAATGTCCAGTCTATACTGGGATATTACAGAGCCCCAGTAATGCGCAGGGTGTACTGTGATATTAAAGAGCCCCCAGTAATGCGCAGAGTGTGCTGGGATATTACAGAGCCCCCAGTAATGTGCAGGGTGTGCTGGGATATTACAGAGCTCCCAGTAATGTGCAGGGTGTGCTGGGATATTACAGAGCCCCCAGTGATGTGCAGGGTGTGCTGGGATATTACAGAGCCCCCAGTAATGTGCAGGGTGTGCTGGGATATTACAGAGCCCCCAGTAATGTGCAGGGTGTGCTGGGATATTACAGAGCTCCCAGTAATGTCCAGCGTGTACTGGGATATTACAGTCCTCAGTAATGTGCAGTGTGTATTGGGATATTACAGAGCCCCCAGTAATGTGCAGTGTGTACTGGGATATTACAGAGCCCCCAGTAATGTGCAGGGTGTGCTGGGATATTACAGAGCCCCCAGTAATGTGCAGGGTGTGCTGGGATATTACAGAGCCCCCAGTAATGTGCAGTGTGTACTGGGATATTACAGACCCCCAGTAATGCGCAGGGTGTACTGTGATATTAAACAGCCCCCAGTAATGCGCAGAGTGTGCTGGGATATTACAGAGCCCCCAGTAATGTGCAGGGTGTGCTGGGATATTACAGAGCTCCCAGTAATGTGCAGGGTGTACTGGGATATTACAGAGCCCCCAGTAATGTCCAGTGTGTACTGGGATATTACAGAGCCCCCAGTAATGTGCAGGGTGTGCTGGGATATTACAGAGCTCCCAGTAATGTCCAGTGTGTACTGGGATATTACAGTCCTCAGTAATGTGCAGTGTGTATTGGGATATTACAGAGCCCCCAGTAATGTGCAGGGTGTGCTGGGATATTACAGAGCCCCCAGTAATGTGCAGGGTGTGCTGGGATATTACAGAGCTCCCAGTAATGTGCAGTGTGTACTGGGATATTACCGAACCCCCAGTAATGTCCAGTGTGTGCTGGGATATTACAGAGCCCCCAGTAATGTCCAGTGTGTACTGGGATATTACAGAGCCCCCAGTAATGTGCAGGGTGTGCTGGGATATTACAGAGCCCCCAGTAATGTCCAGTGTGTACTGGGATATTACAGAGCCCCCAGTAATGTGCAGTGTGTACTGGGATAATACAGAGCCCCCAGTAATGTGCAGTGTGTAGTGGGATATTACAGAGCCTCCAGTAATGTGCAGTGTGTACTGGGATATTACAGAGCCCCCCAGTAATGTGCAGTGTGTACTGGGATATTACAGAGCCCCCAGTAATGTGCAGTGTGTACTGGGATATTACAGAGCCCCCAGTAATGTGCTGTGTGTACTGGGATATTACAGAGTCCCCAGTAATGCAGAAGGTACTGATATTACAGAGCCCCCAGTAATGTCCAGTGTGTACTGGATATTATACAGTCTCAGTAATGTGCAGTGTGTATTGGGATATTACAGGAGCCCCCTGGTAATGTGCAGTGTGTACTGATATTACAGAGCCCCCAGTAATGCAGGGTGTGCTGATATTAAGAGCCCCCAGTAATGCAGGGTGTGCTGGGATATTACAGAGCCCCCAGTAATGTGCAGTGTGTACTGGGATATTACAGACCCCCAGTAATGCGCAGGGTGTACTGTGATATTAAAGAGCCCCCAGTAATGCGCAGAGTGTGCTGGGATATTACAGAGCCCCCAGTAATGTGCAGGGTGTGCTGGGATATTACAGAGCTCCCAGTAATGTGCAGGGTGTGCTGGGATATTACAGAGCCCCCAGTAATGTGCAGGGTGTGCTGGGATATTACAGAGCCCCCAGTAATGTGCTGGGATATTACAGAGCCCCCAGTAATGTGCAGGGTGTGCTGGGATATTACAAAGCTCCCAGTAATGTCCAGCGTGTACTGGGATATTACAGTCCTCAGTAATGTGCAGTGTGTATTGGGATATTACAGAGCCCCCAGTAATGTGCAGTGTGTGTGTGTACTGGGATATTACAGAGCCCCCAGTAATGTGCAGTGTGTACTGGGATATTACAGAGCCCCCAGTAATGTGCAGGGTGTGCTGGGATATTACAGAGCTCCCAGTAATGTCCAGTGTGTACTGGGATATTACAGTCCCAGTAATGTGCAGTGTGTATTGGGATATTACAGAGCCCCAGTAATGTGCAGTGTGTACTGGGATATTAAGCAGAGCCCCCAGCAGTCGTGCAGGGTGTGCTGATACAGAGCCTCCCCAGTAATGTGCAGGGGTAAAGCTGATTATTGGCAGAGCCCCAGTAATGTGCAATGTGTACTGGGATATATGACCCCCAGTACGCGCGAGAGGGTGTGCTGGGATATTACAGAGCCCCCAGTAATGTGCAGGGTGTGCTGGGATATTACAGAGCTCCCAGTAATGTGCAGTGTGTACTGGGATATTACCGAACCCCCAGTAATGTCCAGTGTGTGCTGGGATATTACAGAGCCCCCAGTAATGTCCAGTGTGTACTGGGATATTACAGAGCCCCCAGTAATGTGCAGGGTGTGCTGGGATATTACAGAGCCCCAGTAATGTCCAGTGTGTACTGGGATATTACAGTCCTCAGTAATGTGCAGTGTGTGTATTGGGATATTACAGAGCCCCAGTAATGTGCAGGGGTGTGCTGGGATATTACAGAGCCCCCAGTAATGTGCAGGGTGTGCTGGGATATTACAGAGCTCCCAGTAATGTGCTGTGTGTATTGGGATATTACAGAGCTCCCAGTAATGTGCAGTGTGTACTGGGATATTACAGAGCCCCCAGTAATGTGCAGGGTGTGCTGGGATATTACAGAGCTCCCAGTAATGTCCAGTGTGTACTGGGATATTACAGACCCCCAGTAATGCGCAGGGTGTACTGTGATATTAAAGAGCCCCCAGTAATGCGCAGAGTGTGCTGGGATATTACAGAGCCCCCAGTAATGTCCAGTGTGTACTGGGATATTACAGAGCCCCCAGTAATGTGCAGGGTGTGCTGGGATATTACAGAGCTCCCAGTAATGTCCAGTGTGTACTGGGATATTACAGTCCTCAGTAATGTGCAGTGTGTATTGGGATATTACAGAGCCCCCAGTAATGTGCAGTGTGTACTGGGATATTACAGAGCCCCCAGTAATGTGCAGGGTGTGCTGGGATATTACAGAGCCCCCAGTAATGTGCAGGGTGTGCTGGGATATTACAGAGCCCCCAGTAATGTGCAGTGTGTACTGGGATATTACAGAGCCCCCAGTAATGTGCGGTGTGTACTGGTATATTGCAGAGCCCCCAGTAATGTGCGGTGTGTACTGGGATGTTACAGAGCCCCCAGTAATGTGCAGTGTGTTCTGGGATATTACAGAGCCCCCAGTAATGTGCAGTGTATACTGGGATATTACAGAGCTCCCAGTAATGTGCAGGGTGTACTGGGATATTACAGAGCCCTCAGTAATGTGCAGCGTGTACTGGGATATTACAGAGCCCCCAGTAATGTGCAGTGTGTTCTGGGATATTACAGAGCTCCCAGTAATGTGCAGTGTGTTCTGGGATATTACAGAGCCCCCAGTAATGTGCAGGGTGTACTGGGATATTACAGAGCCCCCAGTAATGTGCAGTGTGTACTGGGATATTACAGAGCCCCCCGTAATGTGCAGTGTGTATTGGGATATTACAGAGCCCCCCGTAATATGCAGTGTGTATTGGGATATTACAGAGCCCCCAGTAATGTGCAGTGTGTACTGGGATATTACAGAGCCCCCAGTAATGTGCAGGGTGTGCTGGGATATTACAGAGCCCCCAGTAATGTGCAGGGTGTGCTGGGATATTACAGAGCTCCCAGTAATGTCCAGTGTGTACTGGGATATTACAGTCCTCAGTAATGTGCAGCGTGTACTGGGATATTACAGAGCCCCCAGTAATGTGCAGCGTGTACTGTTATATTACAGTTTAGTGTATTTGCATGTTATATATTCATAAATGGCTCTGGGATATCATATGCCGTGTGCAATAGAGGACCCAGCCGAACGCTACACAGTTTTTGCTGAGTTTTTAAGTCTCATATTGGCATATTATTTGATTTATTTGAGTTTACTCATCTGTCACAAGACTATATGAAATAGCTCCCCCTGGTGTCATAAAACTGTATAAAACAGCACCCCCTGGTGTCGTAAAACTGTATGAAACAGCGCCTCCTGGTGTCATAAAACTGTATGAAACAGCGCCTCCTGGTGTCATAAAACTGTATGAAACAGCACCTCCTTGTGGCCAGATCCAAAGTTGTAAAAGTAGCTGCCATAGACAGATTTAGATACATTTATTGCATGGGTTCTGATTAAAGTTTTCCTGTGGAACCCTATGACATTGTATACCAACATTGTGGAAACCCCCCACAAGACATTTTGCAACGTAACACAAGCCTTTTAATTACAGGTAAAGCGTAATTTTTTCAGCAAATTAAGAAGCCACAGGCACTAAGCAATGAAGGAGTTAATATGTATGTGTGTATATATATATATATATATATATATGTGTATAGTGGCAATGAAGGAGTTAATATGTATGTGTGTATATATAGTGGCAATGAAGTAGTCAATCTGTTTATATGTATGGTGGCATTGAATGACTTACAAAGAAACATAGAATGTGACGGCAGATAAGAACCATTCGGCCCATCTAGTCTGCCCAATTTTCTAAATACTTTCATTAGTCCCTAGCCTTATCTTATAGTTAGGATAGCCTTATGCCTATCCCACGCATGCTTAAACTCCTTTACTGTGTTAACCTCTACCACTTCAGCTGGAAGGCTATTCCATGCATCCACTACCCTCTCAGTAAAGTAATACTTCCTGATATTATTTTTAAACCTTTGTCCCTCTAATTTAAGACTATGTCCTCTTGTTGTGGTAGTTTTTCTTCTTTTAAATATAGTCTCCTCCTTTACTGTGTTGATTCCCTTTATATATTTAAATGTTTCTATCATATCCCCCCTGTCTCGTCTTTCCTCCAAGCTATACATGTTAAGATCCTTTAACCTTTCCTGGTAAGTTTTATCCCGCAATCCATGAACCAGTTTAGTAGCCCTTCTCTGAACCCTCTCTAAGGTATCAATATCCTTCTGAAGATACGGTCTCCAGTACTGTGTACAATACTCCAAGTGAGGTCTCACCAGTGTTCTGTACAATGGCATGAGCACTTCCCTCTTTCTACTGCTAATACCTCTCCCTATACAACCAAGCATTCTGCTAGCATTTCCTGCTGCTCTATTACATTGTCTGCCTACCTTTAAGACATCAGAAATAATCACCCCTAAATCCCTTTCCTCATATGTTGAGGTTAGGACTCTATCAAATATTCTGTACTCTGCCCTTGGGTTTTTACGTCCAAGATGCATTATCTTGCACTTATCCACATTAAATGTCAGTTGCCACAATTCTGACCATTTTTCTAGTTTACCTAAATCATTTGCCATTTGGCTTATCCCTCCTGGAACATCAACCCTGTTACATATCTTAGTATCATCAGCAAAAAGACATACCTTACCATCAAGACCTTCTGCAATATCACTAATAAAAATATTAAAGAGAATGGGTACAGATCCCTGAGGTACCCCACTGGTGACAAGTCCAAGCTTCGAATATATTCCATTAACTACAACCCTCTGTTGCCTGTCACTCAGCCACTGCCTTACCCATTCAACAATATTGGAATCCAAACTTAAAGATTGCAGTTTATTGATAAGCCTTCTATGTGCAACAGTGTCAAAAGCCTTACTGAAATCTAGGTAAGCAATGTCTACTACACCACCCTGATCTATAATTTTAGTTACCCAATCAGATTCATTTGGCATGATCTCCCTGAAGTAAACCCATGTTGTCTCTGATCTTAATCTTTATTGGCTAGGATTTGAATGTGAGGAATATTACATCTTGTGGGAGTTGGTAAGTCAGACAGGTATCTGGGCAAAATTGATGACACAGCTGTTTCTGGGGGCTGGAGCTGGCATGGGATTGGTTGAAAGTAGCAAGCAGAGAAAGAGCAGGAAACGAACAGTATAAAAAGCAGCAGTGCAAGTGTAATCCGGTCAGAGTGGACTGAAGCAGGAACGGTGCGGACGGACGCTCAGAAACTTCATGGCTTCTGAAGATTTAATGTTAAAAGGTCACTCCAAACCCGTTTAGATTGCTGAAAAGCTTCATGTGTGGAGAGCAGAGAGCAGTGGAGCGTCCGTTTAAAGACTTGGATCGCTGGTGAAGAGCCGGTTTAAATTCACTGCCCGAGACTTCAAACACTGACTGGGAGACTCCGGTAGCAGCATCTTCCCCTGGAGAGTGTTCATGGCGACTGGAGTTTGCAGCTGGTCGCTTGATGGCTTCGGTGGTAAAGAAGTGCCCTTATGCAAGGAACAAACAATAAAGTACTGCATGTTGGATCAGCTGTAATCCTGACATTACGACATGGCCATAGATCCTGCAGATTTGTGTCAGCACATAGTAGCTTGTGAGAGAACCGTATGGATCAGTTCACCTAGGCTATCAATACACTACTAATACGGCTCATTTGCAGCCTGAGGTCCCTTTGACAGGTACACCCCCACCTACTGCACCTACTCCCATTGAATATAGGGCACCTACTATCACCCTATCTTCACCCCCGCATTTTGAAGGTACTATTCATGAATGTCAGGAATACAACTGATCCAACACGCAGTATTAGTATCACACTAGGAATAATAATGTCTAACCGGACCTTAGAGTGGCTGGACTTAACGTACCAGAGAAGAGTTGAAATGCTAGCCGAGGTTAGGAACACAGAACGAAATACAGTTGCAAGGAAAAGCCAACAGTCAGGGATATCAGAATTCAGGGAAGTCAGAACTAAGCCAAAGTCAATAACCAAAAAAAAAAACACGATCAGGAACACACTCTCGGATAACCAGCAAAGGGAAACCACAATGAGTAGAAGAAATGAGCGAGTTTAAATAGCGCTCCTGTGAATCAGATTGGCCGAACTTGTCCTTTGACCCCAAAATGAGTGCGCGCGTCACGTGACCCCGCACGTCGATGTCGCTACCACCGGGGACAGACGCGTGGCTACATAAGTGTGGATTTGCTGCAGCCGGCGTCCACTGGTATGTCGCAAAAGTCTGCTCTTATGGCACAGGACAGCCGAGCAGCACTTCTTACCCCTGTAAAGGTGATTTATATTGTGCATAGCATATGGAGTCTGAACTCCTACAAGTTTGGAATTTGCATGCCCCGCTGCGTAAGTTGAGAATAAAAGGGGCACATATGAACTGGATCACAGCGGACCTCATCCAAATGTACCAGTTTCGGTATTCTTTGTGGTCAAAGTTCAAGCATACTGGCTCTATGAATGATCACTGTGCATATAGACAATGGCGAAATCTATGCACAAAACAAAATTGGCCAAGGCTCAATATTTCTGTGAAAATCTGAACAATAACCTATCAAACCCTAGAAACCTTTGGAAAGTCATAAATAAATTACAACCCCCCCCAATCCACTCCCAACCCTCCACTGTCAAAGTGGGTAACCAAACCCTGCAACTTCCCTTAGATGTAGCAAATGCCTTTAACAATTATTTTGTCGGATGCTTCACTACCCTGATTGTCAAGCTAATAAATGACACGCATCCTGAAACTACAAATGTGGATCAGGCTCCACTAGATTTGCAAAGGCCCAATAAAGACAAGTTCATTTTTAGACTTGTACCCATTAGTGTCGTTAAAACACCTAAATAATCTAAAAATGAAAAACCAGTCTGGACCTGATCAAATCCCAGCAATGCTGTTGAAGCTCAGTGCGCCGGCAATTGCTAAACCTGTCGCAACCCTAATTAACGAATCCTTGGTGTCTGGATACATACCCAAACTTTGGAAGACTGTGAGAGTAGTGCCTATCCATAAAAGTGGTGACACTACTTTGGTTTCTAACTATCGCCCAATATCATTGCTCCCGGTATTGTCAAAAATCTTAGAAAAATGTGTCCATATGGAACTATGTGGGTATTACCAACAATCAAACTATCTGACCCCTGATCAATCAAGTTTCGCCAGAATCACTCCACTACAACTGCCCTCTTAAAAGTTTGCAAAGACATCCAATCTGATATGGAACAAGGAGACCTAACTGGAACTATTTTCCTTGATTTTGCAAAGTCCTTTGACACAGTAGACCACAACATTCTACTGCACAAACTCAAAAACTCAGGTATTGGTTAACGTCCGCTAACATGGTTTTGATCGTATGTATCGGATCGCTCGCAATATGTGTCCATTTCTGACAGCGACTCCCTCCCTCTCCCAGTCACGTGTGGTGTTCCCCAAGATTCCATTCTCGGCCCCCTACTATTTATAAATGATCTGCCTAATGTCTGCAAATCCTCAAATGTACACATGTACGCAGACGACAGTGATTTATGCGAGCAAATCCGATCTACCGCAGCTTGATGCTGTGCTTCAAGACCAGTTTACAGAAGTAGAAAAGTGGATCGCAAAAACAAACTCTTCCTAAACACTGACAAAACATTCACAATGATCTTTGGAACAGTACCTAAATTACACAATTCCCACCTATCCATCAAAACTAATTCAAATAGCACACTGACCGCAGTCCACTCTTTCAAATACTTGGGTATGTTGTTAGACCCCCAACCTATCTTTTGGCCTCCACATAAAAAAACTTGCATCTAAACATTATCCAAAACTAGGTGCCCTGTACAGAAACAAAGGAAACTATTGTACAGCAAATGCTGATGCCAATCATTAATTATGGGGATGTAGTACATGCACCTGCACCGCAATCCCACATTAATAAACTCAATACATTGTATAACTGGTTCTGCCGATTTGTGCTACAATGTAATTACAGGACCCACCATTGTGACATGCTAAAAGAACTAAACTGGCTGTCACTGGAATCCAGACGCACCCATCATTTTTCTTGTGTTTAAGAGCTTTTCTGGGAAGCTCCCTCCCTACCTGAGCAGAATGCTCTCCTTGGCTGTTACCATAACCTCTGATTCAGTACCAGCATTTTATTTAGTCTACCTCAATACAAAAAGAAAGCAGCCCGATCCTCCTTCTCCTACAGAGCACCGCAATTATGGAACGACCTCCCGCACACTTTAAAATCTTCCCCAGGCCTAAAGTCCTTTAATAGATCCCTCTCTACACACTTCAAAACAGAATGCACGTGTCATGGTTAATTATATATTTCCTGTCTGTTCTAGGTTACATTTTGTATATATTGTGTATTAATATTGTTTTTGTATTTTATTGTACCCTAATTGTAACAATGCAATGATTTGTGGACCGAGGACATACTTGAAAACGAGAGAAATCTCAATGAATCTTTCCTGGTAAAATATTTTATAAATAAATGTATACGTGACAAAAACACGTCTGGTCTGAAACTCTTCAACTTACATAGGGGTGTGCCAGGGCACTCCTAACACCATAACCACTAAAACAGTGGTTACAGTGCTGGCAGCGTTCGTTTCACATCCTCACCCAATGTTTTCCATTTATATTGCCGGACTCCATACAGCTACCCATTTCATACATAAAGCACAATCGCACACAGCCTGCTCACCCCCACTTGGAGAGACAGTGCGGAGAAAGCTGTGCCAGGCAGGGAGCTGTGCAGGTACCTGGATGGTAATCAGGGAGTGAAGTCCAAGCAATGGAGGTTTTACTTAAAAATGAAGAAAAAAAAATAAATTACAAAATGTTTTTAAAAAGAGCTTCCCAGCCCCATACCTACAATAAGCTATATAATACAATCTAGTGGATATTGGCTTTGAGATTGTTCCTTTAATGCCCTGATTTCTGGTACTAATAAGAAATTGATGGTTTGTCCTGTTCCCATAGCTAGTTAAAGGAACACTATAGTAATAATACAAATGTGTATTCCTAACACTACACAACCCTGGTAGCCGTTTGCTTTCCCATAAGAGAAGGAAGCTAGACAAGTACACCAAATATAAGACCATCTGACTAATAGCTGGATATTCACTGGAGGCATTTACAGGTGGAAGGGGTGGGTACACATGGCATCGAGGCCACTTTAATGAGAGGAAGAGGATAGAGATATTCCATTGAGGAAATATGTCATTTCACAGCTACTGCACACGCTCAGTGACTTACTCACCAATTCTCTCTACAAGCAGGAAGCCAGACAACAGAATGGAAACAGAAGAAATGGTTTCAGCTAGTAGGAAATGTAATAGAGTACATGAAGCTCATTCACATGTGAGATTGTCATATATTTGTTAACTTTCCAAAATATTTTTGTGATTTGGAAAAATGAACATATCAATAACTTTGATAACATTTGCCAAATTAAAGGACAATAAAAAAAAACAAAAAAAACAACATATGCAGCAGGTGATATTACATCCTTTAAATACGTTACAAAAGGGATATTAATTGGCTGGCAAACTCTGCCTTACTTTCCCCTACACTCTTACAGCATGGTGTCCTGCAGGGGAGATTAAAAAAATAAAAACTTTATTAAAGTATATCATTAGAACTGTGATTCATTCTCAAATTAGGACCTGACTGCCTGCTTTACATTGTTCCTGATTTATACAGTAATACACATCACACGATGACTCCAGCTGCAGTTTAACTCCCAAATAAAAGCATGGGCTACACTCTGTTTACAGGGTAATGCTAAACGTTATGAAGATTCGCTATTGCACAAACTGGATGGACGCAGTGTAGATGTCTCTGGTTTAGCACAGCTCCGTAAATCTGGGACAGTTTAGAAAAAAAATCAATCATTTCTTTTTCTTTTTGCCCTTTTTTCCGCCTTCTCCTTGTTGAACGTTTTGGTCACTTCCTCCTGTTTTCTGCGTCCTGGTCTTCAGTTTGGGAATTTCTTCGGCTACTCGAAGCATTACAGCTTTCCCTAAAGAGGCAGGATGGGACACAAACATTGGTTATTAGTGTATATATGGAAACCATTAAACACACACATTGAAAGATGCTAACTCAGAACTTGACTTACTTACTGTTAAACACTTTTCTATAAGAGACGCAGACTTCATTAGAAAAATGGTTCAATTTCTGACCTCTATCTCTGAATATACCTTGATCAGCCACAACATTTAAATCAATGACAGGTATGTGAATAATATTGATTATTAATGCCACCTATCAGGAGGTAGGATATATAAGGCAGCAAGTGAACAGTCAAGTCTTGAATTTCATGTGTTGAATGCAGGAAAAACAGGCAAGTGAAAAGATCTAAGTGATTTTGACAAAGGCCAAACGGTGATGCCTAGACGAGAGGGCTGGAGTGTATCTAAAACGGCAAATCTTGTAGGATGTTCCTGGTATGCAAAGGTTAGTATCAACTGTGACAAACTCCCCTTTACAAGTGAGTTTGCCACAAGTTCTTGGAGGGGCCTGCTTGCCAGTCTCCTGACCACGGACTATGGACCCTGTAAACTGTGATATAAAATTCTCCTACGTCTATTGGAATTATATGGTTTGGTAATTGAGCAGCCGCACAAACTGGAGACAACCCCGGAGCTTGTTAAGCTTAATTAATACATTGTTGCAATTTCCACCGCAGTGGTCTTAATGTTCGTCTGGGTGGCCGCAATTCCTATGGACGACCACGAGGTGGCGGCCATCTTGTTCACATGGACCAAAACCGCGAATAGACTTCAGGGGGACTTAGCTGCGAATGCTCTGGAACAATTTTCGGCCTGAAAACTTTGCGGTTCCCGGTCGGTCCTGTAGCGGCACTTAGCCGCAATTCTACGGAACTATATTCGGCTATGGGACAATGCTTGCGGTCGGTAAAAACTATGACTTCCATAAAAATGTTTGAACCCCTGAACTGATCAGGGTGAGTTTTGGATACGTCACCCAGATCAGGTCTATCAGGGGACATAACTTTTATGGGATTGTGTGTGTTTTGGGGTTTTTGTAAAAATGTGTGTTTTTTGTGTTTAGATATAATGGAGTTTAGTATAGTGCTTGACTCCATTATCTCCCAAGTAAAGGGGAAAGCTTATTGTATTGTATGTGAGTGTCGTGCATCTAATCACTGTTCTTAATGGTCTGTGTCCCTGTCCCCAACAAGGTCCATGTGGGCATACCCCTTGCATGGGGATTGTCATAAAAGGCCAGTGTGGCACCATTAAAAGGATTCCAGCTTACACTCCAAAACCGCGTGTCGTCCTTTTATTGGAGGGAAAGACTATTTACTCCTGTGTCTGCTGTTCCAGCTTGCAGGAGAATCAATGGGGAAAGTCCTTGTAAGGACTGAGTGTCGTCCAGTGCCTGGGGGTGTCTAGAGCTAATTCCCCATTTGGCTCCAGGTGTAGCATGATGCACTATGGGAAGAGAGCAGGCTGGAGGGAGGAAGTGTTATGCAGTGAGCAATGGTCTGCATGCAACTTGCAGGACTTAAAGGATCTGCTGCTAATGTCTTGGCGCCAGATACCACAGGACACGTTCAGAGATCTTATGGAGTCCATGCCTTACAACAGAGGTTCCCAAACCAGTCCTCATGTATTTCCCTGTTTTATTACAATGGAGATACTAACAAAACCTGGTCTGTTGGTGGGTCTTGAGGACTGGTTTGGGAAATGCTGCCTTAAGTCATTAGAGCTGTTTTGGCAGCACGAGGGAAACCTACATGATATTAGGAAGGTGGTTTTAATGTTGTGGCAAAGCAGTGTATATAGCCCAGAAAAAAAAGGGGGTATTGTTCTTAATTTTCAACATAAGATAAGTGTGTGTAATTATACATACATTATATCAATTAATCTTTAAACACATGAATTCTAACTGCAGTCCAGGCAGTATGATAATTCACAGACCTAAGCAATCATTTCATATAATCAAGAGTGTAGACCGTTTCTTCATTCATTCTGAGAAATATAATATAGACATCCAACAGGGCCGAGTTCTAAAACAGAAGCAGTCACTATGGAAACATTCTGCAGGATTTTGTAGGCTTCATGGAGAGTAACCCATTTCTAAAACACTATTCTAACTTTCCCTCATTATTTTTACACACAAATAGCGGGTACATTTGTATAAGTTGTTTTTGAATGTGCTCCACCTCAGAGAGACTGAATCAGCATTTCAACAGGACACATTATCACAAAGCACTAATTTAAATAAATGTAAAAATAAAATTGTAAAATTGAAGTGAAAAGGGCTGATTTGGAGATTATAAAACTCAGAGATAGCCCAATTTGTAGATTTCACCACAATTCTGTATATTGTGAATGAATCCAACATAAAGGAAAAATAACGTTACTTGATGATAGTTTGTCCACACACGGAGAGCCATCTTCATTCTTGAGCTGCACGCGCACTCGGCCCCGAAACTGTGCGTCGCGGTTTGGTTCACGGGTGTACATTTTATCTGCCTGTGAAACAGACACACTCATGTTATCCCGTGCTAAGCAGCAATTTATAAATAAAAAGAGCACAATGCATTAAGAACAGAAAGATAATTTACCTCTACAATAGCATTTAATTTGTTGGCACGGCACACGTCTGCGATCTCTGTACATGTTGGATTCTGCACACCCTAGTTTAAAGAAAAGGATCCGGGTGTTACTTAAGCTCTAATTGACAGACTATTCATCACATTCTGCTCCCTATTACTTTACTTTGTAAAATGATCACCAGAATACATTGTGCATTCCTGCATGCCATATCTTGGGCATTACTATTCCTATCGTCCTCAAATCTTTAATTCACCAACCTTTTCAGCTGGGATCCTCCTTCCCTCAGCGATAGTTTTCTTGTTATTGATATAAGCTGGATATATGCAAATAAACCTGGAAAAGAATACAAGGAGCTCTAATTTAAATAGGTACATGTCAAAGTTACATGTTCATAGTAGTTCACACATTTCTCACCCAAATAAACATTGCTAAAAGCACCTGTCATCGACAAGAGTAGAACAGATCACAGCGCAAATATGTTTACTACACATAAATGAAACTTAGTGCTGAACACACCACTTGAACATATGTAGTGTACATTGTATACTTGTACATTATATGGGATACTCCTCTGGTTTGTTTTCTGTATATCCACAGTCACTGTGTAAATTACAAGTGATAGTAAAAATTCTGTTACCTTTTGTTTCTGAATAGGAGCAAGTTATGCAGCCACATGGTTACATGCGCACACACAGACCACATTCTCACGCACATCTAAAAAGCTTGGTTATTAACATTGTCAGAGAGCA